TGTTTGATAAAAAAAGAGTGTCTATAGAAGTTTATACTATACCTTACTTTACTTTACTATACTGCCCTACTATGGAGAAAGGCAGTAACTGCAAAAAAATGCAAAATGCGTTTTATTGTGCTATGGTAAAGCTATTGACATTTTGTAACCGAATTCAGCACAGAAATGCAGTAAAATATCTCATAAGTTAAAAAAAAACAATTAAATACCTACTGCTTTTTATAAAAATCTAGTTTATAATAATTTTCCACAAATTTCTTGTTTAGCAGTTACTTCCTTTCTCCATAGTAGGTACTTGATCTACGACAAAAAAAACACAAAAAATTTAAAGCCAATTTTAATTGTTAAATATTTGACAGCTGACGAATTTAACCTTACTTTTTTGAAATTTATAATAAAGCTAACTTTAGCCCGTGACTAAAACTCCTTTATTAAAATATAGCTAAAACTATAGTAACTATTAACTATTAACGGTTAATAAAAATTGTAATGCCTTGAAAAACTACCCCATTGTAGGTAGATATATTATGTTTAAAAAAATATTGTTTATAATATATTTAATATTTGGTTGTGCATTATAAAAATTAACAATATGGTATTATAAAAATAACACACTTAATAAGTGTACAATATAATTTTATTAAAATTATACTTTTTATTGTCTTTTCTATTTTTAACAATTTATTTTTAATAGCTTTTGTAGCTATAAGGTTATTAAAAAGTAAAATTTTGTGTACAATATAATTTTATTAAAATTATACTTTTTATTGTCTTTTCTATTTTTTACAATTTATTTTTAATAGCTTTTGTAGCTTTAAGGTTATTAAAAAGTATAATTTTGATTTCAAAAATATATTCTTAAAATCTTTGTATTAAACTTTACTTCAAAAACTTTTATAAAATTAAAAGAAATGATATTTTATGGAATATTTAATTTAAACGATTTTATGCCAAAATGGGATGGAAACGTAAACTGCATAAAGTAACGTAAAATTTCTATTACTACTCCTATTTTGAAGTAGCTTTAATTCGCATTTCAAAAGATACCACAGCATCAATAGCAAGTCATTTACTAGCCTAAACAATATGAAACAGCTCCGAAAACTTGGTAATATAACATAATCTTAGCAATTTCTTAGGATTATTTTGGCATTCATAATTAAATTATCGGTCGGAGAATTAAGCTATTTGCTCGGGCAACAATTGTTTGAAGTCTCCTGCTTTTATAATTCTGTTTTAAATCTTTAATAATGCATAAATTCGGGTAATATTTTAAAGTAAGTAAAACCCCGCGGTATCTGCTTTTCATATAACAACGTTAAGCCCCTATAAGTAATGATTATTGTCTTACGAGACCGTTAAACTTAGAGACACAATATACCCGAAAACCCTTACTGCTGTAAACCCCATAATCGGAATTATGATGAAGACCTTCCAGCTAAATTTTATTATGTGACCAAATGCCTCTTAAAAGTAAATACGAACAATTAAATGAATTAAATTTAATAATTGAAATTACATTTAAATCTCATAGCAAACCTCGTCTTTAATACAATTTTAATGGGGTGCATATTTTGATTTAGTATTGAATTTTATGATTACAAATAAGATTGTTCATGAGTCAAACTCATCGGGGTGGATAATTTTGAAATGCTTTTAAAGGTTATTAAATATACAGAGGGTTCTGTTTCTTCTTGAGAATATATAGGGTGTTTATTTAACACAATTAATCTAAAAACATATTTTCAATTTTATGTTATAAAAAAAATCTAAATTTTAAAAAGTAGTACTTTTTTATGCAAAGAAATAACAATTTTTATTTATTTTTAATAATAATAACAACTTTTATTTATTTTTTTGTTTTACTAAAAATTTAACTGTAGGCGTCCTAAAAAATGTATTATATATGCTGATTTACAAAAATGTTTGTAATTAATTCTGTGAAAAGCTTTACAAAATCTTCGGCTGTTTTAACATATCTACCTATGAAAAAACACAAATTTGTTTAGATAATCAAATATTTAAACTGTATTTAAAGAAAATGAAAATGTGACTTACTCTTTTGTTTATAAATATGATTTTTTTGCTTTAAGACTAATTTTCAACATTTAGTTTTAAGAAATCAAGGGTGTCCTGGAAATTTTCACAAAACCTATATTTTTTTAGAGTACTTGCCCAAATGACCCAGAAGTTATTGGGAAAAGTTTTTTAGAATAACCATGTAGGCTCATCTAGCCCTTTAGGAAAAGTTCTTCATAAAATTTAGATAAATATTAAGATTTGCGTGTTTTGGCGATAACATTTTTCTCAAACATAGTTTATTTTTCAAGGGCAAAAAAAAATTTACTTTTAAGGACATGCACAATAATTGTGTGCTTCAGGAGTGAACGAAGTAACAATTTTATAGAGAGTTCTTTATTTCTTATGAAAGTTCAAAAGCAATAAACATTCTTACTAGCGTTTGTATTGCCAAGGCATTGGTGCTGGTTTCTTCTTTTGGTTCTCTTGTCCTTTATTTTTTCTTGCTTCATCATGTTCCGTTACATCTTCTTTGTTTCAGAAAACCAAATACTCTCTAAAATTCAGACGAAAGTCGAGAAGTTCTACAACTTTTGCTTTCAGGTTGAAGCCTGTTGCATCGCTACTGTATTCGTTCCAGTTGTTTACGATTGACAACTTTGGGCACATTACCCGCCCTTTTAAATTCTTTTCCCATCGTCTGACTGTGGTTTCCGGTTGGGCACCAAAGGCTGTTGAAATTATTAGAACAGATTTGTTGTCCTTCCACTTTATCAAACAAATCTTGTCGTCACTTCTCTTTAGACTCGCCCTTCATTATTATTTGTTTACTTAAAAATCCAAATCAACTATCTAGCATAGAGCTCTCCAGGATTATTTTCCAATCTTTGCAAATCAATCACAATTTCTAAAAAGTGAGATAAAAGCAAAATTTCAGAAAAATGGATATAATTTTTGCTTTTTGCAATGACTAGGTTCACTCCAAAGGCTCACAGTTTTTTTTATTTTATCAAGATAGTAGCTTTTTGGTAATAAATACGTCAAAAACTTATTTAAAAAAGTTGCTTGAAATTTAAATCTAGGTCTCTCATTTTTCTTTTGTTTATTTTCTTAATTAAGGAATTTTAATTACAAAAAACTGTTAAAACGGTTTTTTATTATAAATTTTAAAAAATCATACTTAAAAAACTGCAGTTAACAAAAGTATTACTTGGCGAATAATCGAGATTTCTTCATACAAACAAATTTTGACACACTTTGTAGGAATGGACGAAGCAATGCGATTGAATGTTTGTTTGTCTTTGGGGGAGCTAATTTTAATAAACCACAAAAGGTGTTCTATCTTCCCAAAACTGTCGATATCAGAGTGAAAGTAAGCTCCATAACGTGATTAATTCAAGAAGGCAGTAATTTGGAACATTAAATGTTTGGTGTGCCGTGTCATACGAACTAACAATCATTGAACCTATCTATATTGAAAAAAAGATTAAATCAAATTGATTCTGCAAAGGTTTATTGACGAACTTTCTTTAAGTTTTAGAAAATCTTCTCTCTTAAAATGGATTAGTCAAAAATTACTAATTGTTATAGCGGCGAAAAATCAGCAATTTGTATAAAAAACATTTAGCAGTCAATTCGCTAAATCCGAAAAAAAAAATTATAAAAGAAATATATAATATGGAATTGACCATATCCTAAAAATTTCTATATTTTTTATAATTGTTGACGGTATTTTTGGATTAAGGGGACAATTTTACATTAGAATTGAATATTAAGTCCGAAATACAAATTGCTGACTACAGTTATTAGTGGCTGCTTTTTTAACTATTTTTGACTAACTAGAGTTATTTCTTTCAACACGAAGGCTGCCCTGCCACGCAAATGATTACTGATTGGCTTAATAGTCAGTTTGGTAAAATATAGAATTTGGAAAAATACATGACATATTATGACAAAAAATAGAATAACACACGGCGTGTGTCACACGCAGTTTGTTTAATTCCTATAAAACATGTACAGGGTGATCCCCTATAATGTCGCCCCCCTTTAACTTTTTTATTTTAAGTGTCCGAAAATATTTAAAAGTGTGTTTATGTAGGTACTAAAACATACTTTTTTCTACGTATTAAAAAAAATTAAAAATTGATCAATATACAGGGAAAAACAAAAAGTTTATTTTTTTTCAATGGATCACCCTATATATAAATTTATTTTTCGATTCCTTGTAAAATTCTGAGCATAATTCATATAACAAACCATATCCTAAATTCAACTGTTTCTGAAATTTTCGCATTCGAAATGTTATCATTAATTGTTTTTTTAAACTGTTGGAAATCCAGAAGCCTCAGTATACCAAAATTTGTATTGAAAATAAATTATTATAGTAACATTATGTCAATATGTCTTGTTAAATAAGTAAAAATGGCCTACTCAGACAGAGAAAGACAAACTATTTCAACTTATATTATCTTAAAAATAATTTAAATATTTCTGAAACGGTTGAATTTAGGTATATGGTATGTTATATGAAATATGCTTAGAATTTTACAAGGAATTGAAAAATAAATAAATATATAGGGTGATCCATTGAAAAAAAATAAACTTTTTGTTTTTCCCTGTATATTGATCAATTTTTAATTTTTTTTAATACGTAGAAAAAAGTATGTTTTAGTACCTACATAAACACACTTTTAAATATTTTTAAACTTTTTGTTTTTCCCTGTATACTGATAAATTTTCCAATTTTCTTTATACGAAGAAAAAAAGTATTTTTTAGTTCCTACATAACCACACTTTGAAATTTTTTCGGACACTTAAAATAAAAAAGTTAAAGGGAGGCGACATTATAGGGGATCACCCTGTACAGACAGCTTTGTGAAATTCTTGATTTCTAAAAACTGAAATTATGTTGAAAATTAATCTTTAATCAAGCAGGGCTGAACCTGAAAGAATGAAAATCGAGAATTTTTACCATTTCCAATAGTCGTTTCACCTCTTTTGACCTGTGTTTTAAACTTAAAATCATTAAAATATTATTATTATCGTTATTATATTTGTAATAAATTCATATTTAAATAACAATAAAAGTAAAAAAACAGTATTTTTTCTAAGAATATTGTAAAATGGTAAAGTATAAGTTATGCGAGAATAAAGTTAAGTTAGGTAAAACTTGAATAAAATATATAACTAAAAGGTATCTCAGTGGCAGCATATGACTTTTAATTTTCCAGCAGCGGCAACAACTTCAATCTCAACACTCGCATTCATCGGCAACTTTCCCACTTGAAAAGCGGATCTTGCTGGGAAATCTTTGCAGAAGACTGAAAATAAAATGACAATAAGTAATTGTGCACTTGTAGTTTTCCGCTGAAATAAAATGCATTTATGCCCACCACAAAAGGAATATTCACGCTAATGTTTGTAAAATTTTCCGACCAAGCCAAACTTTTCTTAGAATTTTTTTTGCATGCACAATTTCTTGACCCAGATATTTACATTTTATTTTCAAAATATAAAGGAGTAACTATAAGAAAAGACTTATTTTACAAAAAAATACCAACTATTTATTTAATTTGTCTCTTAGTATTTGAATAATTTGACCATAAATTTGAGCCTAATTTTAAAAATATACATGATGTTCATATTTGGAGGCCAAGCATGAGTCTCTTGCTTATCTTTAGAGATATATACACACAACACCAAAAGTCTTGGACCCCCCATATAAAAATGTTTTAAATTGTAGTTTATTCTTTTTGCGTATCGCATACAAATGTTTATTTATTTGCAGAATAAAAACGACCATAAACATTCAAAAATAAAAAAGTGTTAGGTTTTTATCGATGTTTAAAAGAAATTTGTCAGTTCGACTCAGTTTGCATGCATGTTTAAGAAGCCTCATTTCGTGTTTTTCTTGCTTTAAAATGCCAGGACGTGAAATTTCTGCGTTTAACAGAGCAAGATTAATTGCTCTTTATGAAGCTGAATTTTCCAATCACCATATATCGGCTAGTTTAAATATTCCAAGATCATCTGTTGTGCGAATCATCCATAGATACGAAGAAACTGGAACGGTGGAAGGAATGCCCCGTAGTGGGCATCCTCGCGTGTCTAATGAAAGGGAGGATAGATATCTGATTCAATTTACTCGCCGAAACCGAAATGCCACGGCCCCAGCCATCAGAGCACATTTTCAAGGTACGTTTCATCGTCTAATTTCGACCTCTACAATTCGCCGAAGACTGCATAGTGCAAATTTACGAGCCAGGAGATGTTTGAGAGTACCTCTTCTATTGCCTCGACACCGTGTTGCCCGCCTCCAGTGGGCGAGAAACCATATGGATTGGCTTTTGGATCAATGGAGATGGGTCCTCTTTACTGACGAAACAAGATTTGGCCTGGTCAGTGATGACAATCGCCAAAGGGTTTGGAGGGAACCAGGACGTCAGCAGCGACTTAACTTTCCCCGAGAAGTCCCTCCCTACCAAGGGGGTACAATAATGTTTTGGGGGGGCATAATGTACAACCGTCGTACTCCATTAATACGCATACAGCAAAATTTGACGAGTCAAATTTATATAGAAAACATTATTAGACCAATTGTTTATCAGTTACGAAACCAAATAGGGTTGAACTTCATCTTTATGGATGATAACGCCAGGCCACACCGAGCCAGAAGGGTTCAGGAGGCACTTCAAGCTGAAGAAATTACCACATTAGAATGGCCAGCCAATTCGCCAGACATGAATCCTATCGAGCACTTATGGGATTATGTTTCCAGGGCTATTCACAATCGAAACAACCCACCAGGAACTGCGGAAGAATTGGCTGCAGCCGCGGTAGAAGAGTGGAATCGCATACCTCAAGAGGTTATCAATAACTTGATAATTTCTATGCCCAGGCGTGTTGACGCACTAGTAAGAAGTAGAGGAGGACCCACAGACTATTAGTTAGCAGTAATTTTTATGTTTATTCTTAATGACGATTAATTTCTTTATCCATTTTATTTTTGAAATAAACCATTTTTAACATTTTGTTTATTTTTAAGTACCCTTGTACATTTATAATAATTATCTAAACTAAATTTAAATCTACACAAAAGACACTTCAAAACATATATTTTATTTTTTTCAAATATAATTTATTTATAATAAATCCGGGGGGGTCCAAGACTTTTGGTGTTGTGTGTAGTTGGTTAAATTAGGAAAAAGTTTAATTAATCATTTTTAGTTTCTGAAATATCGTTAAAAATTTAAATTTATAATTTTTATTTTAAAAACAGTTAAAGGTAGTGTTTTCTAATTAGACATTGTTAAGGAACTTTGTTAGGAAAATTTAAATCTAACAAAATCTTTTTTTTTTGCTGGTGAGATAAGATAGAGATATAGCCTCCAGAAACAGATATTTGTGTATTTAATATGTTAACCTAAAACAATCTTACAAATTTCTAATTAGCATATTTTTTTAAATAACTATCTAAAAATATATATAAAGTTAAATATAACTGTCATTGTATATTGTATACACGGAAAGAGAGGGAAAGCATAATCAGACCGTTGGAAATGTGCGAAATGTGACCAAGTCCTCAAATATTTATGCTTAATTTAATTATTAATGATACCATTATTTTAATATATTAACATATATGTCTATAAAGAAAATAAGTTAAGGTTAAGATTAATGTAACATACAGTTCTTGCTATTGAATTTTAATATACTTTTTAACAATAACAATCTTTAGGAAATATTCTAATTAAACCTTAAAAAAAGTATAGAAAACCCGGCGGCGAAAGCGTATTAATTATACTGGTTATAATCTACTGCCTCGGCTAGAGCCTAAGCAGTGAAATGTATACACTTGAACTAAAGCCTCAAACTTTTTTTTGTTTGTTCTTTATGGACATCATGGCCCCCTGATAAATAAAGTTATTCCAGGTTTTGGTAGGACGACTTTACCAGCGTATTTGAAAAAAAGACATTTTTTACAACCAATAGCTTTTAGTACTTACATTCTTTGTATACTTCATTGACAGCTTGAAAATCGGCTATATCATTTAAAAACACAGTTGTTTTTACTACATTTTCGTATTTCGAATCTGCAGCTTCTAAAATGTGTCCCAAATTTCTAAGTGCTTGTCTACATTCTTCAGCTGCCCCGCCCTCCACTAACTTCATGGTGTCTTTGTCGATTCCCAGACATCCCGAAACATAAATTGTGTTATCTAATACAACTGCTTGACTTAAAAAAAGGATAAGGTTTTATCAGGTTTTATTATTGGTAATAAAATTTTACTTATAGGGGGCTATAGGAACAGGAGCATTAGCAGTTTTGATTAATTTTTTAACAGCTGACATTGTCTTTTGAACTGCCGATGTTAATTTCATTTGATAACTTTGTCAAAAAGTTCTGTCAATAAAAAAGTCCCTGTATACTTTTTGACATTTTTAAATTAATTCTTTTCTGTATTCAATATAATCTTTATAATCTAGCTCTAGACTGTTTAGGTTAAATTCCTGAACAATATATAATTTCAATAACACATTAAATTGTCAAAGCAATACAACAGACATCACTTTTAAGTTTTTTATTTAATTTTTAATAAAAAAAAATATTTACTCACTTGTAAGGTGCAATGGGCATAGGTGCCTTATTAGTTTTAATAATTCTTTTTGTAGACATTTTAACGATTTCACGGGAAAATTTTAATAATACTGGCATATTAAGTAAAATAAAGGTTATTAATATTACAAAGATAAAACTGTATGCTAAGGTCAACTTCCGTAATTTCTACTAGATAAGATAAATAAGTGATCGAGTTACTAATCGTTAGATATTTAAAACACTTGCTTATACTGTTGCAATTTCATTTAAAACATAATATACCTACTATGCTTTTTCTACTCCTATTGGCCAATTTTTATTAGAAGAAATACAACAATGAAGAAGAAATAATAAAAAGTGTGGTTAGAACATTTTGACAGATGCTTGATTTTATTTAGGATACCAGGGGCGATCATGAGGATTTTGCAATAAGCTGGTTTGCAACTAACTAATCGATTGATCTATATAATTTTTAATTACTTTTATTGTAATGCCGTATAATGTAGTTAATGTTTACATATATTATTTTTCTTACCACCTCGGCCGAAAATACGTTGTTTCGTCTCCGATTCCACGGCAGAAAGTTTACGTTTGATGCATTGGAATCGGGGACGAAACAACGTATTTTCGAGTATATTACACTACAAGGGCTACGGCTTCGCTCGTGCCGCAAATGTCGGGCCAGGCATCAATATGTTTCGATTTACACATTTAATTTTTTCCCGAATTTTCGGCCGGATTGGGTTGGGTTGTATTTTCGGCCGAGGTAGTAAGAAAAATAGTATACACTACACGGGCAGAAAGTGTGAAAGCCCTGAACTGCGCGCCATGATGCCCTCGGCAGTGCAGGAATCTCACACTTTCTGCCCTCGTAGTGTAATATACTATTATTTTTAAGTATGCTGACTTTTAATTATTCATAAATCAATATTAAGTAGGATGTTTCATATTGTTTAAAGTTTTAATATTTTTATAATATAGAAAATAAAAATTGATTTTTTTTTAAACTTTCTAGCTAAATTTTGCCTTTTAAATTGTAGTATCCAGATAATTGAATAATATTCAATTATCCACTGATAGATTATTAATAAAACTTTTTATTTGTAGATGTTTAAGAAAAAGTCATGCTTACAATAATATTCATTGAATATTATTGTAAGCATGACTTTTTTTTAAACATCTACAAATAAAAAGTTTTATTAATAATCTATTAGTGGACACAATGCACACTTCTCAATTTAAAAATGGTCCTAAAACTAAATTAATTTTTTTCGTATTTTTTTAAACCTCATAAAATTAACCTAATTGACATTTTATTGTATATGAGTTAACACATAAAAAACTTATTTGTGTTTAAATCCATTTCATGCATTTGCAGCCCATTTCACTGTACGTCGAGTTGTATTATGGCTTCAATTCGTTGCAAAGCTGCTACAGCTTGAAAAAAACATATATAAATATAAATTTCCTTACAGACAACTAAATCTTTGTGATTTTATCCCGGTGTCGACAATTGGAAATTGCAAGGATATTTTTGGATACAAATAACTCAACTCAAGCGCAATAAAAGTAACTAGTTTCGAGAAGTAATGCCAACACTAAATTTTTTGTCTCCAACATATTTAAGAATACTTTTTAGATTACTTAGATAGAAATATAGAAATTTTAAAAGAGTTTTTAAATATTAATTAGGTCATTGAAAATTATTATATTTTTTATCCACAATTCACACATTACAAGTGAATAATTTGTGACCCATAATGAAGGAAATAACACACTATCTTATACTAAGACTAAATTCCTTATTTATTTATTTAGATTTAAATGCACATAAATATTGAATGTGAATACAATTTTTTAATTTTCAAGTTTAAAAATAACTATAGAAACGAGGTCAGCTTACAAAATTTCGATCATAAATAATTTATTGTTTAATAAATTAAATAATTTTACCCCCTAAAAGTTGCTTTGCAGTACTTATTTTTACCTATAATAGGTACATAATTTACATAGGTACCTATTTTTATAAATTTTGCAACCTTTTCTAGTAATTATTATCAACAATCTCATGACAATATTACACATATTATATTGCAAATGTGGAAAATGTTGTACCCAAGGGCGTCGCCAGAGAGGGGCAGGGGGGGGGGCAGCTGCCCCCCCCTAGAGGTTAACGCTCACAAGTCACCCTGCTAATTGAAACGATAAACTGAGTGTTGTGGAAATCCTTAAGGAAACTGAAGATTTTTTTCCTGAAATTAAGAAGGCTTTAAAGATCCTTGTTGCTTTACCTTGTACGACTGGTACAGTTGAAAGGTCATTCAGTAGCCTCAGGAGAATCAAAACCTGGTTGAGGAGCACCATGTTTGAAACTCGACTCAGTGAACCCAGGCAACACATTTTCAAAAACTTGGACGATTTCGTCAACAAAGTGTGTAGTTATTTTGTTCGTTTTTTATTTTTTTTTATGAAAACTTTTTTTTTTAATTTTTCTCTTGTTCTTATATGCTGCCCCCCCCCCCCCCCTAGCTTACCGGCTGGCGACGCCCTTGGTTGTACCTATTGGGCTTGTGTCTAAACATCATAATCCACACGTATAAATAACAAAATCAAATAAACTAACTAACTTGAATCATTAAATTATACGTCCATATTATACAAGGTCTATGTTTTTAGATTACCTTTTTACATTTTTTTGGTGAAGTTATTTATCCATGGTTAAAAATTGTGTTGTGGTTTTAAGAAAAAAATTTAAGTGTTTTCCAGATACCGAAACGAATGGTAGCCTGATGGCTTAGGCTTGGGCTATAAGGTGGAAGCATTTTTGAGATGAACAGAACTAAATTAGGTCCATTTACTTTTTTACCGTTAAATTATGTGACACCCAATCATCGAGATTGTTTTTGTATGTATACAGGGTGTCCCAAAAGTCAAAGATATCCTTTAAAGGACTAATAGGTCAGCTCATGACTAATCAGAATATCAAATGACCTTAGTAAAAAAACATTAGTTTTTAAGATATTGGCATTTTTATGAATTTTTTGAAACTTGACATCTAAGATCAGTTTTTTGAGTGCCACAGTCATGGGCGCCGCTACATAGGGGCAGGGGGGGGCCCGGGCCCCCCCCTGGAAATTCATACCCAGAAATTCCGGTACTCCATAATTTGACGGTAAGTGCTGATCGTTATCATTTGTTCATTATTTTTTAGATAAATTAGATTTGTTATCTTAGATAATTTAAGATCTGTGCCGTCTTAATGTACACTATTGTTGTAAAATGAATGAAATGCCTGGCTGTTCAAAGAAATTAGAAGCACAGTTTACTGATTCCGTTCATAATCCTATGGCAAAGAAACCAGAAGCCACAGATCATTATGTTCATATTCGATGGAATCTTATATACATGCAATAAGGTTCATATCAATTTTGATTTGGAATCCAAGGGGTTTTAGCTTAAATAAAACTTAAAAAGTGAAATAATCCGGAAACTGTTCTTGAAAAATTAATAAAATAAATATTTAAAAAATAGAGGATTTATTTATGGATTTAGGATTTAAATCCTTTTTTGCAAGTGGATTTAGGATTTATGATTTAAATCCAGATAACGTAATGGATTTATGATTGAGGATTTAGATCCAGTTTATGGTGTGGATTTATGGATTTAGATTTAAATCCTTTTTGCCGGATCTTGCCCATCCCTGAGTAAGACACGCTCTTGGCTGACATATTTCTATATACGAACTATATATGTTGAAAAAGTCGACTATAGAATAGATTTCTTCATAAGCCTAGTGAATTGATAAACAGATGGCGCTAATATATTGTGTCAAATTTACAAATATACATACAGGGTGTCCCAAAAGTCAACGATATCCTTTGAAGGACTCATAGGTCAGCTCATGACTAATCAGAATATCAAAACATGACCTTGGTAAAAAATCATTAGTTTCATTGTCATTTTTATTCATTAGATATTGTCATATTATCATTAGATATTGTCATTTTTATGAATTTTGTGAAACTTGACACAAAAACCCTGAATAGGACTGCTATTAATTACAATTCAAAATTAAATTGGTAGCAGATTTTGTAGCTGTGGCACTCGAAAAACTAATCTAAGGTGTCAAGTTTTACAAAATTCATAAAATGTCAAAAACTAACGATTTTTTACTAAGGTCATATTTGTCATATTTGTCATGAGTTGGTCTCTCAGTCCTCCAAAGGATCTCGTTGACTTTTGGGACACCCTGTATAAAGATGATATTTTATTTGACTTAAGTTTAATGTGAACTTCTACAGTACAACTTGATTATAAATAACATCTATCAAAATTGTAAAAAACTTTAAGGGCCCCCCCCTAGACGAATTTCTTCCGGCGCCCATGGCCACAGTTACAAAATTCTATATTCTTAGATTATATTTTATGTTGCGTAACCCTGAATAGGCCTGCTATTAATTAAAATTCAAAATTAAACTAATAGTAGATTTTGTAGATGTGACACTCGAAAAACTAATCTAAGGTGTCAAGTTTTACAAAATTTATAAAAATGACCATGGTTAGTCATGAGTTGGTCGTTCAGTCTTTCAGAGGATATCGTTTACGTTTGGGACACCCTGTATAGCCTTTAATGGTTTTAAACTGTTTGGTGATCTATAGTTCATCAGCAATGTGCACGCTACCTATACAATTGTGAATACAAACCCCAGTAGCACACCAATATTGGTAAAATATTATTTTTACATATTGGCCCAATGATGGAAACGTCAGATTGTATTTTAATGGTCCTATATTTGTATTAAATATTGATCCAATATTGACATACAATATTAACCCAATATAGGTGACATTTATTTTACCACTTTAATTTGTAAATATAGGACCAATATTTGTATTCAATACCGATCCAATATTTAAATGCAATATTTACCCAATATTTGTGCCATATATTTTACCATTTTAGTTTGCAAATATAGGACCTATATTTTTATTTAATAATGATCCAATATTTACCCAATATAGGTGATATATATTTTACCATTTCAGTTTGTAAATAAAGTAAATTTTTTACGTTAAATTATAAAGTTTGATGTATATACATGTGTATATATATATATATATATATATATATATATAAATTTGGGAATAGAAAAAATAGATATTTATAATTCAATT